CGGGGGGGCCAGGGGAAGCTGTTTTCACCCTCCTCAGGCTTCGGAAAGGCCTCCGGAACCTGGGGGTGTTGCATGCCCATGCCTGGGGGGTGTTGCACGCTCATGCGCAGGTGGGCGGGGAGATTGAGAGGGCACGTTCGTGTGTGCAATAGTCCACGCATGTGCCAAATTTTGACATGCTGTAAGAAAAAGGGTTGTCATCACTGTGCTAGAACAATAAAATTAAAAGTGAGAAAAGGCATTTTGAAGAAAAGATACAATAATTATAAAAAGAAGAAAAAGAAAAAGAAGATAGGAGAATGGGAAAAAAGAAGAAAATTAATAAGAAGTGGAATCTTTGAGAGACCAAGAGAAAATGGTTAGAGGAGGAGAAAGGGAAAGAAGGGATATATTAGTAGATTAAAGGGAAATATATTAATATTGTTAATGGTATATAGCCAACTAAGATTTAAGGGAATCATAGTAACATTTTTAATTGTGGATAATTAATTAAGTTAAATGCTCTCTATGTAAAAACTGAAGTTGATGATGAATGCTACTTACAGTAAAATAAACCAACAGATGAAATATGAAATGATAATTTGGTTTAACTTTGAAGGGGCAATTAATGATATTGCTTATGTACTAAGAAGAAAATAAGTTTAAGATTAAAAATATGGAAAGAGAATAATGTGGCTGAGATTGGAAGCAGAATTATGATATAAAATGGATTGTCGTATATGAGCGGATATAAAAGGAAAAACCCTGATAACGCTTTGTTTATAAATCATGTCAAAATTTGTAATAAAAAATAAAAACCTTGAATTTTAAAAAAAAATGCAATAGGCTGTGAAGTAGGTTTTAATCCAGTTAGATAGGCTGCCAGATTCTTCTGACAGCGGTGACTCAAATGTCATCAGAGAAGCTGGTATTTTGAGAAGCAACGTGGGATTAGAAACCTACTGTAGATTTCTCAGAGGAAAAGCAAGTACATTATTTCTAGTTAGGCAGCTGACATCTCTAAAACATGTCCACTTCAAAAGGATAAGAGAGAAGCGGTTGGGATATCCTTAAAGAGATTTAAACATGAAGTCCGAAAGTCTTTTTCACAGGGGGAGATGGAAAAAATGGTGCAAACATCAAGGGGAAATACATTCAATCAAAAGCCCTTGGTATAAAATATTAAAGTGGGAGGCCAGAATTTGCATCTGTTACTAACAGGTCGCAGGGACGCAGTAGCTCAGTGGCTAAGCCGCTCAGCTTGTTGATCAAAAGGTCGGCAGTTCGGCGGTTCGAATCCCTAGCGCCGCATAACAGAGTGAGCTCCCATTACTTGTCCCAGCTGCTGCCAACCTAGCAGTTTGAAAGCATTGAAAAATGTGAGTAGAAAAATAGGGACTACCTTTGGTGGGAAGGTAACAGTGTTCTGTGCACCTTCGACGTTTAGTCATGCCAGCTAGATGACGTCTTTGAACAACACTGGCTCTTCGGCTTTGAAACGGAGATGAGCACCGTCCCCTAGAGTCAGGAATGACTAGCACATATGTGTGAGGGGAACTGTTATCTTTAGTAACAGGTCTGTAGGTAAAAATAATGATAAACACACAAGATTATCAGAAGGACTTGAGTAGGCAATATTCTAATAGAAGGATATTTGTATGTTCTATGAGAAATCTCATGTCTAATCCCAGTTATTGGCCAACTTTAGAGGGTCAGCCAACTTTTATCATGGAAAATAGAAGGCCACATTCAGATCTTCTGGGAAGCATTGCATTTCTGAAGGCAAGCTGTTCCACTAGTTAATTGTTCTCACTGTCAGAAGAGTTCTTCGTTCTAGATTGCTTCTCTCCTTGATTAGTTTTCATCTGTTGCGTCTTCTCCTGCCTTCTGGTTCTTTGGAGAATAGGTTGACTCCACTTCTTTGTGAGATATTGAAATACATTTTTTAAAAAAAGCTATATTGGACAGTAAGGACAAACTGAGCATTTGGTAATATTAGTATCTGCCCTTCCAAAGAACAGGGTTGATTATTGCATGTGAAGCTGTACTGTACTGATTTCCAGTTTATGGCCCTTATTTTGGATGTTAGGACCACTCTTTTTCTAGTTATCATAAAGCTGTCTGATCTGTTTGTCAGTCTGTCTATCTATATCTAACTCTCATCCATTTCTATCTATCTATCATCATTATCTATCTATCTATCATCTATCTATCTATCTATCTATCTATCTATCTATCTATCTCTAACGCATCCATCCATCCTTCCATCTATTTATCTATCTCTAACCTATCTATCTATCTATCTATCTATCTATCTATCTATCTATCTATCTATCTATCTATCTATCTATCTATCTATCATCTATGTATCTCTCTCACACACAAAAACATACACACACACAGTCCACTCCCCAGATAATTTCATACAGGATACAACCCATAAAACCAAGATAATGCACCAGGTAAACAAATAATAGTCACAATTATCTGACCGGTGTTGGTAAGCTTAGTTGAGTTATTTTTTAAAGCTATGTGTGAATATTTAGAGCCTGTTAATACTTATATTAGAGACCAGCAGGAGATGTCATAACTGGATTCTTGACGGAAAGGTAGGGGTGAAAAGAAATTTAACAGTGGGAAACCACTTCGGACCCATTGCTAAGATGAAAGTAAGGAGATCTCTCTGAAGTCAGTAAGAACTTGACTTGAAAGCGAGAACTTCAAAGCAAAGGATGAATGAATTGAAACCACAATAATGTAATGAATAAGTGATGTGCTTTGTGTCGGTTTACAGCTCTGGCTATGACAATCTCAAGGTCAGGAGTTAGTTTAAGACATTGCATCATTCTGAACTTACTGTAGGTTTCTCATGCAAATCAGATTTGTTCCTGAATTGAGACTAGCAATTTTAGGGGCATTACATTGTTTGCATCAGACTCTATGTACAGTCTATTTTAATCAATTCAGACATTCTAAAGTTCGGCCAGGCTATCCAGATTCTGCAGAGGAAATGGACTGAATTCAGTGACCCATTGAACTTTTGAGTGATGAGTAACTGCATTAAGCTAATATTTGTTCTGATAGCACCAAAGGTAAATTGAACTTTACAGAGCATTAGATGCCATCCCAATGATCTAAACTCATCCCTCATCAGTTCTCTGTCTTCTCTGAGAGTTTAAACTCTATTTGCACATATTAAAGGGTTGGAATTCCAACATGGAATGGAATCTGGAATATGAGGTCATGTTTTAAATACCATGCTTATTATTTTCTCAGGAGATAAGAGTAGTGGGGTTATCAAGATAATGAGAATCCAATTGAAGATTTTCTGAATTTGATTGCTGTAGAATTCCATGCTTTCTTCAGGCGTAAAAGACTATTGATCCTTTCCTGTTATGTGTCTTCAAGAATAATGTCAAAAGAAATATCGCCTTTCCATGAAGCACATGTTGACTTCATGAATGTCTCCACGTGATTTTCTTAATGGTGGTCTTCCAGGATGTGTTATCAACTTCCCAATTTAGTTTATGATTCATAGCTTCCTGCTCTTTTCCCATCTAAGCACTAGCCAGGTTGTCCCTGTTTAGTTTTCTTGACCTCACCTTGAGTTAATGAGATGCTTCCATGTTGCTAGATAATAATAGTACAGAACAGAATGTAGAGCAGAAGAGAAGAGAAGAGAGAACAGAACAGAGAATGGAATGGAATGAAGAATGGAATGGAATGGAACAGAACAGAACAGAATAGAACAGAACAGAACAAAAAAACAGAACAGGGAATGGAATAGAATGGAATGAAGAATAGAATCGATTGGAATAGAAAAAGAATAGAATGGAATGGAAAAGAATGGAACGGAACGGAGCAGAATGGAATGAAGAATAGAATGGAATGGAATAGAAAAAGAATAGAATAGAACACAACACTACACAAGAGAGAATGGAATGGAATGGAATAGAATGGAATAGAATGGAATGAAGAATTGAATGGAACAGAACAGAACAGAACAGAGAATGGAATGGAATAGAACAGAACAGAGAATGGAAAGGAATGGAATGGAGTTGAATGAAGAATAGAATGAAATGAAGAATAGAATGAAATTGAATAGAAAAAGAATAGAATAGAATATAAAATAATTAGAATAGAATAGAATAGAATAGAATAGAATAGAATAGAATAGAACCTTTATTGATTTAGTCATTTAACCATATCAAAAATCTGGTTCTAGAAGAATGAAATAGGCAGACCCTGAACTGCCACTACTTCTCATTTAAAGAATTAACGAATATAAACTAGAGTAAAAATTGGATTTTCCCAAGGGCTCTAAGTGATGAATATAGTCAGAATAATAGTCAGCTGCAGCCCAACCTAATTTTCAGATGCCGTTCTAAAGGAGATAACAACCAGCTTCCTTTTCTTCTCCCTGCCCAAATCATCTGCCAAGATGAATGTGTCCCCCCCCCCCACTGTACAGGTGGCCCCTAACCCCTCCATTCCTTCCTTTCGGGGGGGGGGGAGAATCCCAGCCTTCATGCTGGAAGCCCTGAACAGCACCTGCACCTTCTCCCAAAAGCAGAACCTCCGTCCTCCGGGCGCTTCACTTAACATGACGACTTGGATGGATTTCATCAACGGTATCTCTGAAGGGTGGGTGGATGGGTGGGTGCGGGAGATCCTGTCGGCCAACGGTGGTGTCTCAAACGGGAGTCCTTTTGAGACAGGACCCCCTGTAACCGTTTGCTAGGCTCAAACAAGTGTGGCTTCCCGATGAATTGATGGCAGAGGATTCTCTCTCTTGTTCCTTGGCTGAGTCCTGGGGAGCCAGCTCTTTGTCCCAATCTTCCCCCACCCCTCCTGGCAAGTTTGAAATGCGAGATCCTTGGGTTTCCTTTCCTCCTTCTCTCTCTCTCCCCCTTTTTGGCAAAGGGACTGTGTCGGCTTGTCTCGCGCGTGTATCTATGTTGGTGGAGGGGGTCTCATGCATTGAGACGCCCGCGTAAGTGATGGATAGAATGGGCGAGGACCAGAACAGGCTTTTAGACACTCCAGAAAGAAAGCGTCCCTGCCAGGAAGACGCAGCAGAGGTGAGACTTTTCCGAGGGGTTTGGTGGGCTTGGTTGGGATCCCCCCCTCCCCAGCTCCTTGTGGGCGGGAGGGGGAGCGGAGTCCAGGAGCCTCCCTCCCTCCCTGCTCCTCAACCCCACCACCCCATCCCTGCCTGGCGGGAGTCTAGCCAGTGCCCCCTTGCTCCTTTCAGGTCTGTCCGCGCAGACGTGGGAAGTTGGCAAGCCGAACCTGATTCTCTTTTCATTGTCTCGGGAGGGTTGTTGCTGGAAACACAAATCACCGCTTGGCAAGTACAGCGGGAGCCCATTAGCAAGGCTCCATCTGTGATTGGTTTCGCCTGGAAACCGGGAGACAAGCAATGCATAATTGATGGGTGTGTGAGTGTTTGTGTGTGTGTGTGTGTGTGCTGGACAGGGGAAGGAGAAGAAGAAGAAGAAGAAGGGGGGAAAAAAGAAAGCCATTGAGCAGCAGCGAGCAGGATGCCCATCCTTCAGGGGGGAACCAACCCAGGCTTGCAAATAGCTCCAAGCTGCTTGGTCCCGAGATTAAGGTAGCCCCCTATTTTTCTTTGTTCTGGACCACATGATTGCCGCTCCAAGTCTTCCCAGCCATATGGGCCTGGCTCTTTCCCCCTTCCTCCTCCTCCTCCTCCTCCTCCTCTATGCCCGTGAAGAAAAGGGAGGGAGAAAACCCAGCCCTCCCTCCCCACGGTGGGCATGCAAAAGCCGGTTAAGGTTTTGAATGAAAAAATAACTTGTGGGTAAGTTGCTGTCTTCAGAGGGGGTGGGGGGAAGAAGGCATGTGGGGAGTTTCAGGGTGTGTGTGCTCGGTCTAGCCACTCCGAGGGTGGTGTGGTGTGTGGGGGGCGGTGGGGGGGGGAGAAGTGTGTGCACGTGCGTGACACAGGAGAGAGAGGGAAGGAAGGAGGGAGGGAGGGAAAGCATTGTGGGTAGAAGTGTGTCAGATGCCGAAGAAGGGAAGGGAAGGGACTATCTATCTATTCACTTCCCTGGCAAGCTGCAGCCGACCCTTTTTATTTGTAGAGGATGCTTGTCGGATGGTTGTTGTTGCTGTCGTGATTAAAATACATCTGGGGGTTGTCTTGGAGTTCTGGTTTGAAACCCGGTGGTCGTCTTCCCTGGGGCGATTTTGTTTGGGGAAACCTGCACGCTTAAAACCAGACCTCGGACCAAATGCTTTTGTCCTTGATTTATTGGGTTTGGGTAACCATGGTGAAGAAAATCCAGGGAAGGGGAAAACGGGCCTTTTGTCCGGGGCGCTTCAGCAGGTTTTGCAACAGCCCTAAATTGCTCCGTTTTCTCCCCATCATCAAGCCTCTGGACCGTTTAGCCCCTGCTGTTACGGCTTCAACATTAGAAGAGAAGATGATTCTGAAAATTCATCACTGAGTTTGGCTTGCCGGACTTTGGGAAAACCCCTCCCATTTTACATTCTTGAAGCATTGAGGATTTGGGCATGGAGATCTCGTGTATCGGTGCCATTTCGAACCCAAAGTGGCTTCGATTTCTCACTGTCTTTCCTTGCCCGAATTGTTCCTGATCAATTGTGATCTGATTATGACATGGTTGACTCTTAAAAGACTTAGATGTGCAAAGAAGCCTTGATCTCCAATTAGCTGAAGCAATTATTCTTTCTACTTTGACCACAACTACCGTGTTTTCCCGAAAATAAGACAGGGTCTTATTTTCTTTTGGCCCCATTTTGGCCTTATTTTTGGCAAGGTCTTATTATTTTTGAGGTGCACGAGGCGGCGAGTGTGGTCACCTCATGGCCATTGCTGTGTTGCAATATTTTCGGGGAAGGCTTATTTTAGCGCATGTGCTCGATTATAAGCCCCAATTGGGCTTATTATCTGGGGAGGGCTTATTTTCAGGGTAACAGGGTATTCCTGTTACCCTCTTTTTTTGAGAAAACATTAGACAATGATTTGTCTGAAAGGGGATAGGGTCGCCTCCTTGAGCAGAAGGTTAGACTAGAAGACCTCTGAGATCCATTCCAACTCTTGTTGTTCTGTTCTTCATGTGCTTCTGGCTAAGTAGGGGGAGAAGTGACATGAGGAATAGATTGTAGCAGGTTAAAGAAATTGATCGTAGCTTCAGAGGGTCAAAATAACCATGATCATCATCATCATCCAAGCTTATAGAGTTTCAACGTCCGAAGTGGGAAAATAGAAATCCAGACGGACCGTTGGATTGTAAACTCTGCCACTGTTTGGATCAGTGCACCATCCTCAAGAGTGGTGGAGTTACAGTCCAGGTAGCATGTGTCAATTTTCTGCATTAAGGAAGCGTGGCCAGGAGGTGGCCAAATAGAGGAGAAGATTTGCTTTCGTAGTCCTTTCTGAAGTTTTCTGGAAAGCAAATTGCAACATGCCCAGCACAAATTCGGTTCTGTTGGCAGCCGGTCCAAAATTGGCTGGCTGTTTGCCCAGCTTGGCTGGAATTGAATTTCAGATATAAGAAATGAAAAGGAAGAGAGAGGAGTGACTAATCAAGAAATGAATACAACAAATGTTTTGATAAACAATGTGTCAGTAACAGGTGGTCCTTCCCTCCCTCCCTCCCTCCCTCCTTCCTCTCTCCCTCCGTCCCTCTTTCCTTTCTTCCATCTAATTTCCTTTCTCTCCCTCCATCCCGCTTTCCTTTCTTCCATCTAATTTCCTTCCTTCCCTCTCTCCCTCCATCCCGCTTTCTTCCATCTAGTTTCCTTCCTTTTCTTCCTTCCTCCCTCCCTTCCTCTCTCCCGCTTTCCTTTCTTCCATCCAGTTTCCTTCCTCCTTCCCTCTTTTCTTTCCTCCATCTAATTGCCTTCCTTCCCTCCCTCTCTCCCTCCATCCCGCTTTCTTCCCTCTAGTTTCCTCCCTCCCACTCGCTTTCCTTTCTTCCATCTACTTTCCTTCCTCCCTCCCACCATCTCTCCCACTTTCCTTTCTTCCATCCAGTTTCCTTTCTTCCTCCCTTCCTCTTAATATTTCAAAAGTTCCTGTCCATTGCTTTCCCCTTTCCCCGGTCTCTTTTTTGTATGTGCAATGGCCAAATGAACCTCGTAAGGGATGAAACCGAATTCAGACAGCATGTGAGTGTTGTGTTTGGTTCAGGTAATACAAGTAGTCCTCAATTTACAACACTTCATTTAGTGACCGTTCAAAGTTGCACTATTCCTTATTTGTGTGAGAAAGCGTTTGGGATGATTCAAATGATTGTAGAGAAAAATGTTTTGCAGGGTGGACGAAGGTGGTCAGAAGACAAACCATTGCCTTGAAGTGAGCAATCTTGACTCATAATGACGTCCCGGAGGATTTGCGATGTTTCATAGAGTTAAAAGTCAAGTTCTAAGCAAAGCTGACTTTTGAAATTGACTGATGGTGATTTTTGTCAATGCTGGTGGCATTTGAGCATTGTCCAGATGTTTGTGGGTTGCACCCAAAAACACCTGTTGATCTTGGTGCCCTCTTTGCTTTCTTTCACCACAATTGTCTGACTTCTATTTGCAGATCTTGGTGTTTGGTGATTCTCTCCAGTTCTTCTTCTCCTTCTCTTCTGCTGTCTCTAACTCCAGACTATTCAGACTTTTTTCACCTTTCTTATCGACACTTATTAACATGGAAGGTGCTTGTTGGTTTGAATTCTCAATGACAGAGGGCTTCGTTGTCTGTTGCCAAGTTAGTAACCTGGTTATGAAGTGAATCTGGCTTCCCCATGGACTTCGCTTCTCGGTGTCAGGGTTCCCATGGATGCCCTAATTAAATCATGAGCCTGGAGCCAAGCTTCAAAAGAAATCCAGTTATTTATTAGGAGCTTCATATCCATCCCATCCAAATGGAGCCAACTCTGACCTCACGTAATTTACGGTCCAATTGTGACCCTGTTTCCCCCCTCCCCACAGGGTTTGTCATAAATCTCATTCTCCAATGGAACACTTTTGCAGGCTGTAGAGATCACTCCCCTGCGGTTGCTGTGGGTAACCTGGGAGACAGCCTTGAGAAAAATATGCCTGGAATGTGCTTCTGTTTGTAGCTGACGTGCTACATCGTCAGTTTCCCATCCCCTTGTCTATGGCAACTCGAGAGCAGGCCAGGGATGCTTAGTTGACACTCACAAGGTCACACTGGACACCTTGGCCATCATAAACATGGGTCAGCTGCCAAGCGTCTGAATTTTGATCACATGACTGTGGGGATGCTGCGATGGTGGTACTGTGAAAAAAACAGTCATGGTCACTTTTTTCAGGGCTGTTGTAACTTCAAACGGTCACTAAATGAACTGTTGTAAGTCGAGGACTACCTGTATTCCAGCACACCACTGTGGCTACTTTGTCTGGTTCATTTGTGTGATCCCCTTGCAGCAGCTAACTACGAGGTGCCATTTTGCTGTCTGTTGCTTCTTCACAATACTGGCGTGGTGCGTATTTGCGGTGTAGTCACACAGCCACAGCGGCAAGAACAATAATAAGATTAATACCCTTTTTCTTAATGTGCGGCTCAGAGTCAAGCAAGCCAAACCTCGGTGTCAGCAACCCCAGCTTGTAATGTTTAATTTCCTGGTGCAAACTGAAACTTTGCCTTGTCTTAATGCTCGCCTGATCTGCAGATTTATGACCTACAAATAATTTGGTGATCTGCTTAATGCCATCTCTGTTGTTAGACATTGAGTTACTCTCTGGAGATGGGCTTTGGTGATTAGATCAACCCTCAGTATTTAAAGACAAATGCTACCTAATTCGGGATGCGCAGGGGGAAAAGGAAAGTAGACAGAAACGAATGAATCTCTGCAATTATTCCAGAGAAGATATTGTTTGGCGGCCTATTATGGGGATCACATATCCCAGCCGTTACTAAGCAGAGAATGTTAATCACATATCTTGCAGGAAAGGCTATATGGATCTGGCTTACAAGATCCCACTTAGTAGTATTTTATTGGAGCAGTGCTTTTAGAACAATTATTACTCAATTATGCTAATCCATCAAACAATCATTTAACACAATCAAGTAGTGTTT